GAACTGCAGAACTGCAGTCAGCTGAAGTAGCCTGCAGTGCTGCATTTAACCACTGCGCCACCTCGGCTCTTAATGTTAATGTCCATTCCCATGGCCTTTCGATCCCTCTTGTGGAAAACCAACCCAACCCAACCAGTCTCGAGTTTTGGAGTGGTCCAAAACAAACCCATCCATGCAAAGCTGGATGTTGTTTCGGGAATACATTCGCCAGCCGGACAACCACTGTATGTGGCCTATCTGACCCTCCAAGACGAGGACGCTGAACGGGCCCGGGAAAATAAAGTGGCTTGCAAGAGGCTGTTATGGGATGCCACGAAGCTTTGCAAGCTATCCTGCACAAATTTTTGGGAAGGCAAAGATTTGCAGCTGCTCTGGAAACTTTCAGAACATCTAAGGAAGGTGTTGCTTCAATGAAGGCGGAGTTTTAAGATGAGTGGACTTGGCTGGGGAAGACGCCTGGGGGCGGGGTGGGATGTCTGAGAGGAAGCCCTCTCATCTTAAAGCATCTGAGGTTGGGAAACACAGAATGAGGGATTTATTTTTGCTCTGTTTGTGGTCTGTAAATAGGTAACCTTTTCTCCCACCCTCCAAAAAAAAAAACCAGGTCCCTGTGGGTACCCACCTATTTGAGCAGCTCAGGTTTTGTTCCAAAGTGGCCGACATGGCCCAAGACAGCATCTTCCTCTTCAACAAGCTGGTCTGAGAAGAAACCTCCTTGATCTTCTCCATCATCTTCTCCCACACGCGGGGCACTCCCATTTGGGAAGTGGGCAGAGCTTCTCTGAGGACCTCAACCAAGCTTCCCTGCGAAGGCCAAAAAGAGGGGAGGTTGGGAGCCAAGAGACCAGGGGTGCCCACTCCGTGCCAACTCCCTGGTCAACGGGGCAGACTAGAGGATCTTGCCTTCACGGGGGCTCTTTGTTAAATTGTGGAACCAGGAGATGAAGGAGTCACAGCCACTGCCTCCCTTGGCTTTAAAAGGGGGTTGGATAGGAGGGGCATCATTTTGTAGCTACCCCATATTTCCCCAAAAGCATTCCCTTTAGGCACTGGTCAGCAAATGTCACAAAGAGAGCCCTTTTAAACTCTAAAAATGTATCACCTCCCTACGAGACCTACTCTTAATCTTCAGAGTACTTTAAGCCACCTCTAAAGCAACAAACAGCACCCCAATCAAGGAACTACCAACAGTCAACAACAGGACATTCCCATCAACACAGATAGGGCAAGCTACTTGCATATAAAGAGGAAAGCAAAACTCCCTCCCTTCAAGCGCTGATGATGTTACCTAGACGGGTAGTGAAATATCTGCAAGGAAACAACCAAGCTCAGGGAGCACCAAGGACTCCCCCTCCTCCTCCTCCTCTTCTCCCTTATAACACTGATATTGTTACCTAGTTGGATCATGAAACATCCGCAAGAATGTTCTTGCTCAGAGAGCACTAGCCATATTCTATTCTATTCTATTCTATTCTATTCTATTCTAATTCTACTCTACATTCTATTGTTCTGTTCTGTTCTATCCTATCCTATCCTATTCTATTCTGCATTCTATTCCTATTCCTAGTCTACTCTGGTCTGTTCTATTCTATATCATTCTATTCTATTCTTATTCTAGTCTACATTCTATTCTATTCTATTCTACTCTATCCTACCCTACCCTACCCTACTCTACCCTACTCTATTCTAATTCTACTCTATTCTATGTTCTATTGTTCTGTTCTATCCTATCCTATCCTATCCTATCCTATCCTATTCTGCATTCTATTCCTATTCCTAGTCTATTCTGGTCTGTTTATTTCTATATCATTCTATTCTATTCTTATTCTAGTCTACATTCTACTCTATTCTATTCTATTCTATCCTACCCTACCCTATTCTAGTCTAATTCTATTCTAATTCTAATTCTATTCTAATTCTATTCTAATTCTATTCTAATTTTATTCTAATTCTATTCTACATTCTATTGTTTTGTTCTGTCCTATCCTATCCTATCCTATCCTATCCTATCCTATCCTATCCTATCCTATCCTATCCTATCCTATCCTATTCTGCATTCTATTCCTATTCCTAGTCTATTCTGGTCTGTTCTATTCTATATCATTCTATTCTATTCTTATTCTAGTCTACATTCTATTCGATTCTACCCTACCCTACTCTATTCTTCTATTGGTAATTAATCTTACCACGATTGGGACTGGTTAATTAAAATTGCTGAAAGGATTAATCAGGTTATCGCCTATGAAGTACGTCCACCTTCTTTTCCCCTTATTATTTCTCTAGAAGGATATCTCTTCCTATCCTTCTGAAAAGTCCAGAGTGCCTCTTACGGGAGATGCACGCAACCTATATGGGAAAGAAACCCGGCCCCCAAACCCCGCCAAGAGACCTTCAAGGCATCCGGTTGTGCGAAATAAACCTCTTCGCCCCACTTGATCCCAGTCCAGAGGTCATACATCTGACCAGCAATGTGGCTCAACGGCAGGTAACTGACAATCTTCTCCTGCTGGATTTCGGCTGGTTGCATGTCTCCTGCTTGACTGGCGTGGGCAGAGGTCCAGGTAATCTGCCCAGGTTTAAGAAAGAAATGGCAAAGAATTAAAAGTCCTGAGCCAAGGATCTGGGACGGGGGGTGGGGGGGCTGTTTTTTGTTTGCTGTGGCCCAAGGTCATGTGATTTCCCCCTTTGCAACCTTCTGGCAAGCAAAGTCAATGGGGAGGCCAGATTCACTTAACAACCGGGTTATCAACTGCGGTGATTCGCTTTAACGACTGTGGCAAGGAAGTTCGTAAAATGGGGCAAAGCTCACTTAACCACAGAAATGTGGGACTGAATTGCAGTTGTAAGTTCAAGGACTATCTGTATTGGGTCATTTCTGCATTTTTTTGGTATTTCCTCTCCTACTTGAGTAACGTGACTTTGCTGTTGAAATTAGACGTAGTTTTTAACGTTGTTGGGGTGCTTATTGCGACTTTATAAGTGCCGAGAGAGCCGTGAGGTAGCAGGGGGAGAGAGATCAACTTAGTAAATAATACTGTCTCCACCGGGTCCAAATATGCTCTTCTGCGTCATCCAAGCAGCATCAAGGTGGCCAAATCCTCGGGCAGAATCTGATCACCGTTTAGAGCAGGTCATCTTTTAATAAAAGGGGCCTCGGTGCGTCGTGAGGGCCAGCAGATGCTTTCCACAATGAGGGAGACAATAAAAATAGCCTTCCTGCACATGGAAATCAGGAATAGCCGGGCCGAGCAAGCTAGATTTGCACAGAGAAGGAGGCATTTCGGGTCTCCAACTTCTGTTATCCATGAATAGATTTCTTTGGAGAAGATCAACTCAACAAGAAGAGAAAACCAATATTCTCTTCTATCGGTAAAAATCAACTTTATGGCCCTGTGAACCATCTCCAGAGGTTGTGGGGGATCCATCCATGGGGGTTTTAAGATGTGACTGGATGGCCATTTGTCTGGAAATGTATAGGGTTGGATTAGAAGACCTCCAAGGTCCCTTCCAAAACCCTGTTATTCTGTAAAACAGTCTTCCCCAGCCTTGGCAACTTGTGGCTTTCAACTCCCAGAATTTCCCAGCCAGCGCATAGTTAAGACTTAAAGTTTGTTTGTTTGTTTTATTAGTTTTGTATGTTGCCCACTCCCGAAGGACTCCGGGCGGCTCACAATAAAACAGGGAAAGGGGAATAAATAAGACAATACAAAAAAATTTAAGTCTTAACTATGCGCTGGCTGGGAA